TCGCCAGGCGCCTGCTGTTAAAACGAGGGCATCGATTCGCCAGGCGCCTGCTGTTAAAACGAGGGCATCGATTCGCCAGGCGCCTGCTGTTAAAACGAGGGCATCGATTCGCCAGGCGCCTGCTGTTAAAACGAGGGCATTGATTCGCCAGGCGCCTGCTGTTAAACGAGGGCATTGATTCGCCAGGCGCCTGCTGTTAAATGAGGGCATTGATTCGCCAGGCGCCTGCTGTTAAATGAGGGCATTGATTCGCCAGGCGCCTGCTGTTAAATGAGGGCATTGATTCGCCAGGCGCCTGCTGTTAAACGAGGGCATTGATTCGCCAGGCGCCTGCTGTTAAAACGAGGGCATCGATTCGCCAGGCGCCTGCTGTTAAACGAGGGCATTGATTCGCCAGGCGCCTGCTGTTAAAACGAGGGCATCGATTCGCCAGGCGCCTGCTGTTAAACGAGGGCATTGATTCGCCAGGCGCCTGCTGTTAAACGAGGGCATTGATTCTCCAGGCGCCTGCTGTTAAAACGAGGGCATTGATTCGCCAGGCGCCTGCTGTTAAAACGAGGGCATTGATTCGCCAGGCGCCTGCTGTTAAACGAGGGCATTGACTGGAAAAGAACGAGACCTTGAAACATGGAATGGGAATGTGTGGAAGAACCCTGATTGAAGCTGGGGACACTGATTTCGTAAATTCTGATGAAGTTTTTTTGTCAGAAGGAACAGTTTCCCCATCCCCAGTACTGGCAACATCCCCTCCCCAACCCGTGTTGCCATCCGACTTTCCTCCTCTCTCTGAGGAGATAAACTCTTCGCTGCCTGAGGCAACAGTGGTGGCCTCCCCTAAGGCAGTTGCCAGGCAAGATAATGCTGTTTCTCCTCAGATGCCATTCCCAACACATCTGTTTGCTTCTAGACCCATAACTAGACTAAAGGCCTGCAGGCCCCTAGTCCGCAGGTGAGGTTGAGAGTGTGACCCATCGCGAGATGCACTACACTAGAAAAGATACTGTTTGAGTTCTCTAATTTATATAAATAGCAATCTGGAGCCGGGCGTGGTGGCTCAAGCCTGGAATCCCAGCACTTTGGGAGGCCGAGGCGGGTGGATCACGAGGTCAAGATATCGAGACCATCCTGGTCAACATGGTGAAACCCCGTCTCTACTAAAGATACAAAAAATTAGCTGGGCATGGTGGCGCGTGCCTGTAATCCCAGCTACTCAGGAGGCTGAGACAGGAGAATTGCCTGAACCCAGGAGGCGGAGGTTGCGGTGAGCCGAGATCACGCCATTGCACTCCAGCCTGGGTAACAAGAGCGAAACTCCGTCTCAAAAAAAAAAAAAAAAAGAAAAGAAAAGAAAAAAAAATAGCAATCTGGAGAAAAAGCATGGGAATGGATTTTTCTTTTTTTTTTGAGACAGAGTCTCACTCCGTTGCCCAGGCTGGGATGCAATGGCACGATCTCGGCTCACTGCAACCGCCAACTTCTGGGTTCAAGTATTTCCCCTGCTTCAGACTTCTAAGTAGCTGGGATTACAGGCATGTGCCACATGTTGCCTGGGTAATTTTTGTATTTTTAGTAGAGACAGGTTTCACCACGTTGGCCAGGTTGGTCTCGAACTCCTGTCGTCAGGCGATTCACCTCAGTCTCCCACCGTGCCTGGCTGGGAGCAAACGTTAAGTGTACAGGATAATCTGGAAGAAACAGTGTTGGATCAGGATGAATTTATTGATTTGTGCCCACTAATAAGGGATTTTGTATTTAATGTTACAGCTTGGGGAGTTAAAAAAAGGTTCTAATAGTTTATTTGCTTAGTTAGCTGAAATATGGTTTAAAGGACGGTCCATTGTGATTGAGCTGAAAATGTCTGATCTCTCTTGGTTTAATGTAGAGGAAGGAATCCAAAGGCTTAGGGAGACTGGGATGCTGGAGTGGATTAGCCACTTTAGAGCTACTCATCCCAGCAGGGAGGATACAGAAGATATACCCTTGACCAATGCCTTGCAAAATAGGTTTGTGAGGGGAATACCTGCATCTTTGAAATGTCCTGGAATTGCTATTCTCTGTATGTAAGATCTAATGGTGGGAGCAGCAGTCAGTAAACTATAAAATTTAAATACAATGGGAATAAATAATTGGATCCCAAGGTGGCAGGGGCCAAGTGGTGGCACTGAACCATCAAAGGCAAGGTGAGCACAGGTTCTGTTATGGACAGTAGAGGCAAAGTGGCAATTAGAATAGTCTGATTCATTTTTTTTTTTTTTTCTGAGATGGAGTTTCGCTCTTGTTACCCAGGCTGGAGTGCAATGGTGCGATGTCAGCTCACCGCAACCTCCTCCTCCTGGGTTCAGGCAATTCTCCTGCCTCAGCCTCCCAAGTAGCTGGGATTATAGGTGCGTGCCACCATGCCCAGCTAATTTTTGTATTTTTAGTAGAGATGGGGTTTCATTGTGTTGACCAGGATGGTCTCGATCTCTTGACCTCGTGATCCACCCACCTCAGCCTCCCAAAGTGCTGGGATCATAGGCATGAGCCACTGTGCCCAGCCTAGAATAATCTGACTCTTGTAGAGCTCTGTCATTGGCTAATTAATCTCAGTGTTTCTAGAAATGAAACTGATAGGAAACCTACTGCATTTTTAAATTATACAAATGGAAAACTTCTAGGTAGAGGGGACAAGACTAATCTGAATTATAAAAACAGAGAATAATGGCTCCTCAATCAGTTTCCAGACGTGAGCCAGTTTACAGATCCAGAACATCTTGAATGAAGGGGAGTTTGGTTCCCCTTGAGGAAGGACCCCACTGCATTACCAATAATCTATCCCCAAGGACACCTCTGGTCTTTTACCAAGGTAACTATGCATTGGAAAAAGGGAAATGATCAGACATTAGAAACTACCGAACACTAGCTCTGAGCTGATGTTGATTCCAGCAGACCCAAAACATCATTGTGGTCCTCTGGTTAAAGGAGGGGCTTACGGAGGTCAGGTAATTAATGGAGTTTTAGCTTGGGTCTTTTACAGTGGGTCCAGTGGGTCCCCAGACTCATCCTGTGATCATTTCCCCAGTGCCAGGATGCATAATTGCAGAAGCATACTTAGCACCTGGCAGAACCACCACACTGGCTCCCTGACTGGTAGAGTGAGAGCTATTATGATGGGAAAGGCCAAATGGAAGCCATTAGCGCTGCCTCTACCTAGAAAAATAGCAAATCAAAAACAATATCCCATCAATGGAGGGATTGCGGAGATTAGCGCCATCATCAAGGGCTTGAAAGACCTGGGGGTGGTGATTCCCAGTACGTCCCCGTTCCACTCTCCCATTTGGCCTGTGCAGAAGTCAGATGAATCTTGGAGAATGACAGTGGATTATTGTAAGTATAACCAAGTGGTGACTCCAATTGCAGTTTGAGCAAGTTAGCCCATCTCCTGGTACCTGGTATATAGCTGTTGACTTGGCAAATGCCTGTTTCTCCATTCAGCTGGCAAGGCCAGCAACATACCTTTATGGTCCTACTTCAGGGGTGTATCAACTCATTGGCTTTGAGTCATAATTTTTTTTTTTTTGAGACACATTCTCACTCTATTCCCCAGGCTGGAGGACAGTGGCACAATCATGGCTTACTGCAACCTCTGCCTCCTGTGTTCAAGCAATTTTCTTGCCTCAGCCTTTCAAGTAGCTGGGATTATGGGGGGCCCACCACCACACTCGGCTTTTTTTTTTTTTTTTTTGAGACAGAGTCTCACTCTGTTGCCCAGGCTGGAGTGCAGTGGAGCAATTTTGGTTCACTACAACCTCTACCTCCTGAGTTCAAGCAATTCTCCTGCCTCAGGCTCCCGAGTACCTGGGACTACAGGCACGCATCACCACATCCAGCTAATTTTTTTTTTTTTGTATTTTTGTAGTAGAGATGGGATTTCACAATATTGGCCAGGCTGGCCTTGAACTCCTGACCTTGTGATCCACTTGCCTTTGCCTCCCAAAGTGCTGAGATTACAAGCATAAGCCACTGCACCCAGCCTTAATTTTTACACTTCTCTGTAGAGATGGGCTTTCGCTATGTTGGCCAGGCTGGTCTTGAACTCCTAGCCTCTGGTGATCTGTCTGCCTGGGCCTCCCAAAGTGCTGGGATTACAGGCGTTATGCACCATGCCTAGCTTGTGTCATAATCTTATTTAGAGAGACCTTGATCGCTTTTTGCCTCCACAAGATATTACTCTAGTCCATTACGTTGATGATAGTATGCTGATTGGCGTAATAGAGAAAGGAGTAGCAAACACATTGGACTTATTGTTGAGATATTTGCGTGCCAGAGGATGGGATATAAATCTGACTGAAATTCAGAGACCTTCTACCTCAGTCAAATTTCTAGGAGTCCAGTGGAGAAGGAGTAAAGTGAAGGAGAAGTTGCTGCATTTGGCCCCTCCTACTACCAAGAAAGAAGCACAATGCCTAGTGGGCCTATTTGGATTTTGGAGGCAACACATTCCTCATGTGGCTGTGTTACTCCAGCTCATTTATTGAGTGACCTGAAAGGCTGCCAGTTTTCAGGGGTGTTCAGAGCAGGAGAAGGCTCTGCAAAGGCTGCTGTGCAAGTTGCTCTGCCACTCGGGCCATATGACCCAGCAGATCCAATGGTGCTTGAGGTATCCCTGGCAGATAGGGATGCTGTGTGGAGCCTTTGGCAGGCCCCCATAGGTGCATCACAGCAGAGGCCTCTAGGATTTTGTTGCAAAATGCTGTCATCTTCCGCAGATAACTACTTCCCTTTTGAGAGACAGCTCTTGGCCTATTACTGGGCTTTGGTGGAAACCGCATATTTGATATAGGTCATCAGTCACCATGCGACCCGAGCTGCCATTTAGGAACTGGGTGCTTTCTGACCCATCTATCCATAAAGCAGGTCTTGCACAGCAGCATTCCCTCATCAAATGGAAGTGGTATACACTTGATCAGGCTCAAGCAGGTCTTGAAGGCACAAGCGAGTTACATGAGGAAGTGGCTCAAATGCCCATGGTCTCCACTCCTGCCACCCTGGCTTCTCTCCCACAGCCTACACCGATGGCCTCAGGGGTTGTTCCCTATGATCAGGTGACAGAGGAAGAGAAGACTGGGACATGGTTCACAGATTGTTCTGCATGATATGGAGGCACCACCCATAAGTGCAGCACTATAGCCCCTTTCTAGGACATCCCTGAAGGACAGTTGTGAAGGGAAATCTTCCCAGGGGGCAAAACTTCAAGCACTGTACCTGGCTGTGCACTTTGCGTGGAAGGAGAAATGGCCAGATATGCAGTTATATACTGATTCATGGGAGGTAGCCAATGGTTTGGTTTGGGTGGTCAGGGACTTGGAAGAGGCATGGTTAGAAAATTGGTGACAAAGAAATTTGGGGAAGAGGCATATGTGGATGGACCTCTCTGAGTGGTCAAAAACTGAAAATAGTTATATCCTATGTGAGTGCTCACCAATGGGTGATTTCAGTAGAGGAGGAGTTTAATAATCAAGTGAATAGGATGACCTGTTCTATGGACACCACTCAGCCTCTTTTCCCAGCCACCCCTGTGATTGCCCAATGGTCCCATGAACAAAGTGGGCACTGTGGCAGGGATGGAGGTTATGAACAGGCTCAGCACCACGGACTTCCGCTCACCAAGGCTGACCTGGCTATGGCTACTGCTGAGTGCCCAATTTGCCAGCAGCAGAGACCAAAACTTAGTCCTCAATTTGGCACCATTCCTCAAGGTGATCAGCCAGCTACCTGGCGGCAGGTTGATTACATTAGACCTCTTCCATCATGGCAAGAGCAGAGCTTTGTCCTCACTGGAATAGACACTTATTCTGCATGTGGATTTGTCTATCCTGCACGCAATGCTTCTGCCAAGACTTTACCATCTGTGGACTCACGGAATGCCTTATCCACCATCATAGTATTCCACACAGCATTGCTTCTGACCAAGGCACTCACTTTACCACTAAAGAAGTGCAGCATGGGCTTCTGCCCGCTAAAGAAGTGCAGCAGTGGGAGTTCACTGGTCTTACTATGTTTCCCATTGTCCTCAAGCAGCTGGATTGAAAGAATGGTGGAATGGCCTTTTGAAGTCACGATTACAATGCCAAGTAGGTGACAATACTTTACAGGACTGGGGCAGAATTGTCCAGAAGGCTGTGTCTGCTCTGAATTGGCATCTAATAAATGGTACCGTTTCTCCTATAGCCAATGTTCAAGTGTTCAGGAATTGTGGAGTGGAAGTGGCACCACTCACCATCAACCCTAGTGATCCACTAGCAAAAATTTTTGCTTCCTGTTTCCACAACATTATATTCTGCTGGCCTAGAGTTCTTAGTTCCAGAGGGAAGAATGCTGCCACCAGGAGACACAACAATGATTCTATCAAACTGGAAGTTAAGATCGCCACCTGGACAGTTTGGCTCCTCCTACATTTAAGTCAACAGCTCAGAAGTGGGTTAGTGTTGGCTGGGATAATTGACCCAGACTATCAAGATGATATCAGTCTACTACTCTAAAATGGAGGTAAGGAAGGGTTTGCATGGGATACAGAAGATCTATTAGGGTGCCTCTTAGTATTACCATGCCCTATAATTAAGGTCAGTGGGAAACTACAACAGCCCAATCCAGGCAGGACTATAAATGACCCAGACCCTTCAGAAACAAAGGTTTGGGTCACTCCACTGGAAATAAAACCACAACCAGCTGAGGTGCTTGGTAAAGGCAAAGGGAATACAGAATGGGTAGTAGAGGAAGATAGTCATCAATATCAGCCACGACTGCGCCAGCTGCAGAAACAAAGACTGTAACTATCACGAGTATTTCCTGTTTCTTTTGTCAGAAACATGTTTGCACTTATATACACATATACTAGAAAATATCTTTATTTCCTTTCTCCTATATCATGTGACATAAGACTTACACTTAAGCATAATATTATGCTTAAATGTCAATAAGTAATAGTGAAGTCAAAAACGTAATAGTATTTGGGTTGGGGATTGGTGCGCTTCTGGTTGTATGAAGCATAGTTGTATTATGTTAGGCATAATTATAACCTTATTATTGTCTATTTGAAGATTATGTATGATCTTAGGAGATGTGTATGGGTTCAAGTTGACAAGGGGTGGACTTGTGATGGTAACTACTGAGTGTCCACTTGATTGGATCGAAGGATACAAAGTATTGATCCTGGGTGTGTCTGTGAGGGTATTACAAAAAGAGATTAACATTTGAGTCAGGGGCTGGGGAAGGCAGATCCCACACTTAATCTTGTGAGCACAATCTAATCAGCTGCCAGTGAATATAAAGCAGGAAGAAAAACTTAAGGAGAGATTGGCCTAGTCTCCCAGCCTACATCTCTCTCTCCTGCTGGATGCTTCCTGCCCTTAAACATCAGACTCCAAGTTCTTCAGTTTTGGGACTCGGACTGGCTCTCCTTGTTTTTCAGCTTGCAGACAGCCTGTTGTGGGACCTTGCAATTATGTAAATTAATACTTAATAAACTCTCATATATATGTTAATAGGATATCTACATATCTCCTATTAATTCTCTCTCTCTTAGAGAACCCTGACTAGTAAACCTTCCAAAGTGAAGCACAGGTAGTTTCATCGATTCCTCCTATGAGTAAGAAAGAGACATGTGCCTAATGGGCCTCTGTGGATTTTAGAGATAACATATATTATAGTGTCATATAGTACTCTGACCCATTTATGGAGTAACTCAATAGGCTGCTAATTTGGTTGGATCCCAGAGAAAGAGGAATCTTAGCGTGAGATGAGGTTGCTCTTCAATCTCTTCTGCCACTTGGGCCATATTAACCCAGCAGATGTAATTATGCTGCACGATCTTTGGTAGATATGGACACCATATGGAACTTTTGGTATGCTCCTATGAGATTCTGTGGGAAAGCTATGCCATTGTCTGCAGATTACTATTGTCCCTTTGATAAACAGCTTCCGTTCAGTACAGACTGATAACTTGACCATGGGCCACCAAGTTACTCTGTGACCTAAGCTGGTCATTATGAATTAAATGTTATATGACTTACCAAACCATAAAATTAAGTGTGTCCAGTAGCACTCTATCATTAATCTAGACCAGTCTGAAGAAACTCCTATAGGAAGAAGTTGTATTACTCTAGCCCTCACTTCTGCTACATTGCCTCCTCTTTCAACTCACACCATAGGAGTTACCATGGCTAAGAAAGAAAACAATGGGCTTGGTTCTGCATTATATATTAGCATCTCCTGAAACTGGGATGGATGCAGTACTATAGTCTAACCTGCAGTGCATCTGAAGAATATTGGTGAAAGAAAATCCTCTCAGAGGCAGACTATCAAGTGGTACATTTAGTTGTCCACTGTACCCACAGTAAAGAGTTGGCGAGAAGTATGAATATATATTCATTCATGGTTATTTGCTGACATTTGGCTGGATCATCTGGGACATGAAGAAAACAGAGTTGGTGTCATGATAGTCTGGGATAGAGGCACATGATTAGACAGACTTCTCCAAATGAGCACAGAGTAGGAGGTATCTGTCCCTTGTGAATGTCACCAAAAAGGAACCTTAGCAAAAGAGGATCTTTATAATCAGGTAGAAAAGATGATGAGATAATAAGGTTTACAGATGTCAGACAGTATCTTTCCCCAGGCCTTTCCTGTCTTTGCCCAGTGGGATTTTGCACAAAGTAGTCATATGGGCAGGGATGGAGGATATTCATGGACTTAGAAACATGGATTTCCACTGACCAAAACCACAGCAATATTCCCGAGCTACCAAGAGCAGACATTGATAATGAATTCCTGATTTAGCACCATTCAAGGGAGGATAAGCCAATTCTGGTAGTAGGTTGATTACATCGGATCACCTCATTCAAAGGCTAAACTTTGTTCTCATTGGAATAAACAATTACTTTGGAAGTGTACTTGCATTCCCTGCCTGCAATGTTTCTGCCAAAATTACCACAGTCCATGGATTTATAGAATGCCTAAATCATAATATCCCAACGAATATTGCTTCCAACTAAGGAATTCATTTTATAACAAAGTGTGGTGACATACTTATCCTCATAGAATTTGCTCCTCTTATTATGTTTCCCTGAAATAACTGTCCTCACACAATGGTAGAATAATATTTTCCTATATACTAAGTTATCTTTCAGAGTAAATAAAATATTTGACTTGCATTTATTTCATTTCTGATACTCTTCATTTCTTTGTATGTGTCCAAGTTTCTGACCTACATAATTTCTCTCCCTGAGGAATTGTTTTAAAATATTTCTTGCAGAGTAATTCTACTGGCAATAAGTTCACTCTGTTTATTTGAGAAAATGTTTATTTTGTCTTCATTTTTTAAAGGATACTTTTGCTGGGTATAGAATTCTGAGTTGTTTTCTTTCAGCATTTAAAAGGCATTACCCAATTTTCTCCTTTTTTGCATGGTTTCTGATGAAACATTTGTTCTAATTCTAATTCTTGTACCTCTACAGGGAATGTGTCTTTTTCTCTAGTGAGCTTCAAGATTTTTGTCTTTGGTTTGCAGCTATTTGAATGTGACAATGCCTAAGTTGTCAGTTTTTGGTATTTCTCCTGATTGGTGTTTTCTGAGCATCTTGGATCTATGATTTAGTGTCTGTCACTAATTTTGAAAAATGTTGGCCCATTATTTACTAAAATATTCATTCTTGTTTCTTTCTTCTCCTTCTGGAATTGTAATTATGCAAATGTTAGTCCATTTGATATTTCACATCTAATAAATATTTTGTTCTGTTTTTTCATTCATTCCTTTTTTCTCTTTGTATTTTAGTTTGGGTAATTTCTGTTGACTTATCTTCAAGTTTACTGATTCTTTGCTTACCTGTATTGACTCTTTTTGATTTGTTTTGTTTTCCGTTTTTTGAGATAGAGTCTCACTCTTGTCACCCAGGCTGGAGTTCGATGGCAGGATCTGAGCTCACTGCAAACTCTGCCTCCCAGCTCAAGATTCTCCTGCATCAGCCTCTCGAGTAGCTGACATTACAGGCACACATCACCACACCCAAGTAATTTTTATATTTTTAGTAGAGAGAGGGTTTCACTGTGTTGGCCGGGCTCGCCTCAAACTCCTAACCTCAGGGAATCCACCCACCTCAGCCTCCCAAATTGCTGGAATTACAGGCATGAGCCACCATGCCTGGCCCTGTATAGACTCTTTTGATGAGCTCATGGAAGACATATTTTTATCTCTATTACTGTTGTTTGTTTGCTTGCTTATTTTGAGATGGAGTTTCACTCTTTCGCCAGGATGGAGTACCGTGACATAATCTCAGCTCACTGCAACCTTTACCTCCTGGGTTCAAGCAATTCTCCTGCCCCAGCCTCCTGAGGAGCTGGGACTACAGGCATGCACCACTACACCCAGCTAGTTTCTGTATTTTTAGTAGAGATGAGGTTTCACCATGCTGGCCAGGATGGTCTCAATCTCTTGGCCTTGTGATCTGCCCACCTCAGCCTCCCAAAATACTAGGATTACAGGTGCATGAGCCACCTTGCCTCGCCATTTTTGTTTTGTTTTTTTGGTTTGAGATGTAGTCTTGCTCTGTTGCCCAGGCTGGAGTGCAGTGGCATGATCTCTGCTCACTGCAACCTCCGCCCCTGGGGTTCTAGCAATTCTCCTATCTCAACCTCCTGAATAGCTGGGATTATAAGTGCCTGCTACAACATCAGGCTAATTTTTTTTGTATTTGTAGCAGAGACGGGTGTCACCATGTTGGCCAGGCTGGTCTCAAACTCCTAACCTCAGGTGATCCACCCACCTTGGCCTCCCAAAGTGCTGAGATTACAAGTGTGAGCCACCATGCCTGACCCTTTTTTTTTTTTTTTTTTGAGACTGAGTCTCACTGTGTTGCCCAGGCCAGAGTGTAGTGGTGCCCTCTCAGCTTATTGCAACCTCTGCCTCCTGAGTTCAAGTTGCTTTCATGCCTCAGCCTCCCGAATAGCTGGGACTACAGGCATCTGCGATCATGCCTGGCTAGTTTTGTATCTTTAGTAGAGATGGGGTTTTGCCTTGTTGGCTAGGCTGGTCTTGAACTCCTGATCTCAGGTGATTAGCCTGACTTGGCCTTGCAAAGTTCTGGAATTAAGGTGTGAGCCATTGTGTCTTGCCACTATTAGTTAATTCTTGCATCTTGTGTAAGGTACGAGTTCAACTGCATTCTATTGCATATGAATATCTAGTCTGAATACCCAGTTTTTCCAATATCATTTGTTGAAAAGATTGTCCTTTCCCCACTGAATCATGTTTCCTGCCAAAAATCAATTGACCATATATACAAAGGTTTACTTGTGGGTTCTATATTCTGTTCCATCAGTCTATCCTTATGCCAGTGCTAAATCGTTTTCATTACTATAACTTTTTGAGTTTTGAAATCAAGGATTTCCTCCAACTTTCTTCTTATTTTTCGATTATTTTGACCATTTAGGGTAACTGGAGATTCCATATAAACTTTAGGGTCAGTTTTTCTATTTCTGCAGATAACTCCATTGGGATTGCCTTGAATCTGTAGATCATCTTGGGTATTGTTGTCATCTTTACAATCTTTTCTTTAAAAGAGACAGGGTCTTGCTATGTCGGCCAGATTAGTCTTGAGTTCTTGGCCTCAAGCAATCCTCCCACCTCAGCCTCCCAAAGTGCTAGGATTACAGGCATGAGCCAACAAGCCTGGCCAATCTTTACACTATTAAGTCTTCTAAGCCATGAATATGAAGTGACTTTTATTTATGTCTTAATTGTCTTATTTCAGCAATG